GTTTTCGTAAATTTCGTGCGAAAAAAATTTTCTTTTCAAAACTAACAACACCTCGATTTATTTTACACTAAGGGCTATCTAAAAACCAAATATGAGCGAAATCGATTTTTTGACTTGTGCCATGAAAATTCGATTTTGGTCGATCCTTACAGACAGTCGCTCTTAACATGTGTACCTGACCAGAATGCAACATATTTGTACGGCCTCCACGTTCCTGGGTATGACGAGTGTCCCCACGTACCGGTATTGGTCCCTCCGTTTTGGAAGCCCCACTTGGCACAGTTGGCGGCCAGCAGCGATTGATCATCAGGAAGACGAATGAATGAGTTACAAGCAGTTGCAGGCGAAGAAGCATCCTCAATCATGTACCTACAAATGTAAAACCACGTAATGTAAAGAGATGACAGCTCATCAAAATTCACTCAATAGCACTCGTTCACACAGACCAAAACGACCTTTGAGTGCCAAAGAATAGAACAAATGTTACTGCCTCATACTTTGGTTTCATTATCCAATTCTTCGTTCGCACATGACGTCACAGCGTTCGTTAATTCATCCTTAAGTTTGTGATATCAATTCTGTAGATATAACCAGCCGGGTAGGGGAGTAGAAAGGATATTGAACGATTTATATCCTGCCAAATTTAATTGTATATGTAATTTATTTAATACGTTGAACACAGGGATAACTCAGTCTCCAGAGCCATAGGGGCTTATGAATAAAGCACTCGATGCCACATGGAATTGGAATTTGGGAACTGATTTTTGCAGAATGAGGAAGGCCAGAAAATAGACTTCGAAGCACTGACTTACGACTGACACCGATCCCGGGAATCAAACCGGAATCGTATCGGTGAGAGACTGCCCATTAGCAGCTCTAAACACCCGTGCTTAACGTTCCTTAATGAAACCAAAGCAGACACGAAACAATTACCAAGTAATTAAAGGGGTAGAAGGACTAATTGCAGCCTAAACAAACACTCGTTACTTTCCGATAAGTGTGCATTTTTTGGTAAGTTTACAGCCAGTTATTTCGGCACGCTTTTGACGTCATAACTTATATTCGTATCGTACTAAGGTGCTACTGGAGGCTCATAGGTGTCATTTTAATTTACATCCAATTTCAAAACACTGGAAAAAGGCCTTAAATTGCATAGAAACATTCAAAACTTCTAACTCAACACGTTTATATAATATATTATTTTATTAATAATATTTCGATTAAGTTGAAAAAAAAGGGGAAGAATTTATAAAATTTCTGTAAAAAATCGCAAAAAGCCAGTATTTAAGCTCTAAAGTTAGTTTATCGATCATTCGTGGACAAAGGAAGATAAGACTGGCCAATGTACGTACCTCACAACGTCGTATCCCGAATCGTTCTTGGCCGTCATAATGTGAAATACTCTTCCAACAGATGCTTTACGACAGTAGTACCGTAACTGTGTGAACCCCATGTCTTGTTTCAGTTGCAGAAGTCCAGGTTGTGTGACGAATTCATATATTCCCAGATTAGATATCTTCCGATAGTTTGTATAAAGGGTAAAGCCAGAAGTGGGTGGGCCCGTCAGGGTCACGTCCCTAATTTGTGTCCAGCCTCCTATAATTCAGTAGACGGCATATTTTATAGTCTCCCCCACAGCCGCTTTCAGTGTCGTCACGCAACGCTTTCTCCCCTGAGTAGCTACTCAGGGGAGAAAGCGTTGCGTGACGACACAGAAAGCGGCTGTGGGGGAGACTACATATTTTAGGAAACGTATAAAATTGGAGAATATAGACCAAATTCAAAACTCGTACCGTTGTGAGGATTAAGTTGTGAACAAAGGGATCTGGCGTAACTCAAAGTAATCTGGCGTGACTCAAAAGTCACGAATCACGCTAGATTCCTTTGTTCACAACTTAAGCCTCACATCGGTGC